GAAGTATGAAGATATCCTTATCCATATTTACTGAGTTTCATTAAGCAATCCTAGGTGAGCGGTAAATATTGGGAATCGTGCTGGGATGATGAGAAGAATCTGGATGTAAAGATGGCTCGAGATGAAGAACTACAGGATGCGCTGTGGGAGAAGACTGACATACTGTTGGACAAGTATGAAGCTAGTCGTCAACCGATAAGAACTGTGGCTGAAGCTACAGCATAGAACAAACCTGTGGTAACACTGCGATGACACTGCAACGCAGTGATCAAGAATGATTAACTTATCAGCCTCAGTATAGCGGAATTTACCTAAGGAGTACGTGATGTAAATTATAAGTTAATTTTTACTAATATCATTATGATAATTCTCAGTATCAAACAAAAGTGTTACTCCAATCTTTATTGTGATGATATTGCCTTTAAGTCTTTATGAGTGTGCTACCTATTTATTACTCGCCTAACGGTGTCCGTGCTAGCCGCAGAGTACCACCCTGCCTCTCTATTTATGCTCGAGATTTTCATTGATTGTTCAATAACAAATTCCAATATCTTATGCACAGCTTTGCTTCTATCATATCAACGGTACTTATTTTATTAATAAGAGATGAGTTGCAAGCATAATGAGAGAACCTGAGAAACGAGGTTGAATATCTCCTTGTTGGTATAACATTTGATGAATCACAGTAAAATTTAAGCTCCAAATAAATAGCGACAAAGAGATGAAATCTTTAAATTTTCATTGCTCAGTGGTCACATGAATGAAGCCCATGGAGGAATGATTGGTTGAGGGTTCTGAAGGTAACTCATAACAACAGCAGAAACGGAGAGCCTGAAAGTTAACACTTATTTGAGTACTTTGATTTAATTATAAGAAGACCATGAAAAACAAGGCTACAACTGATTTTTTGTACGACTATCCTTTCATAGCGTAAGCTGATCCAATATTTAGCGAAAACCCACATGAAACTGCTTACGATCTGCTTTGCGTCATCTGATGATCGAGTGTTCGCAAAGCTGACACATGAGCATAAAAGGGCCATCCATGCACACCACTTCATCTGAGATTGTGTCATAGATTCCAAAATCAAACGGGAAAAAAGCCAATTATCTATACCCTCATCATCAATCCACACATGCTGAAGATCATTCCCAAAACGTTCATGTACTCGGGAAGAGGGTCATCGGTGATTGCATTATTTGCCTGTGGATCTGCTGCTTTGAATCTAAAGCATATAATCGCAAGAAATTTTGTAGTTTTCGAAATAAAAGTTTGACATTAGGGGATTAATATCATCTTATTTTAGTATGTCAATAATGGACAAACATTCATAAAATCAACTAGCCTTACGATTCTGTTTGGCCTTCGTGGATCGGACTGTGTCTGCATGCTGAATGAAGATAAGGGCAATTAAATTATTAGAACCACATTATTCAACACAATTACAGAAACGGAGATTGATGCGACTCTTCAGTGAGAAGGAGGAGTCACTGGAAAACGAATGAAAAACCAATGCACTAGTTCGCATGGAGGGCGCAGGATCCTCCAAAAGATTGCAAATTTGAATAGAAGATAGATAAGTCAAAATTGAGTTGATGGTAATCTCTATCGATAGATGTAGGCTTCTGAACAAATTCCGTATATCTTTGGATCAATTGCTTTAAAAAAGTTGATGACTCACTTGAAGAAGATTAATCTGAATGCTTTTGGAGGAACGGTTAGAAACAATCTATTTTGACTGCAAATTTATATTTCAATGTTTCAACATGTCACAGTCATACAGGGCTATACATGAGCTTCACAAGTAGATGTGCCTTGCTTTCGTAGTCACTTCGCTCAGAGGCAATTAACGGCTGCGAGTAGGCTTAAATACCCTCAGGTTACTCCACAAGCAAAAGGGCAACCTTTTGAAGGATCCGCCACTTTGCATGATCTTCTGATATTTCTAAAACAAGATTTTGAACATAATATTCTTAGAAAATCTTCAAAAATTTGTTTTTTGCATCCTGATATAATGCCGCTTATAAGATGGAATTGGCTAGTGCAGCATCATATACCTCAGCTTTGTTACTAATATATCGTTTACAAACAAGCATTCTTATAAACATGAAAGGTGACAAAGTGGAAGAGAGGGCTACTTTTAAAAATAAGGAATTTTTATAATCGGCAAATTGAAGTTGTAAAATAAGGCCACAAGGGGGAAAGGTAATACAAAGTCATGCACGATTCGCTTATGCCAACGCGTATTAGCGCAGTGGTAATGCGATCGTCACAATAATCTCCTCATCAGTTAACGCGCTCCAAATCAACACTACGACGCAGCTGCTGAAATCGTTCACCAGTCGCTTATACATAATTCGCTGCGAGCAGCCGTTGCAATGGATCATAGGAGTTAACGTGCTCCATTTCTAAACGCTTGGCAAAGGCCGAAATATTTTTTCTATTATTTTGAAGATTAATTGAAAAATTTCTTTTCTTTTGCTATCGCCACTCCATTCTTCAAACAACATAATAATAGACGTGAACCAGACGTTCGGGACATTCAAATTGATTTCTGAAATGCGCATTTTGTATGAAGGGGTGCTGTTAATTTGTCTCTAGTTTTGCAAAGTAGTTAGTTTCTAAGTAGTTGATTATTGTAGCTGTTGTAGATCTCTTTTCGCATTTCACCCTGCTAACAATCCCTGGATAAAAGAGGGTACGTTTGGAATCTCTTCATGATCTAGTTTCTCATGGACTGTAAAAGAAATCCATGTTTTTCGCTTATAATGCTACCCGTAGGATCCTCAAAAGCGTTGCTATCTTTGTTTGTGGCGTGCCTTGAGGGCATCCAAGTTTTTTCGTGCGCGTAATTGCTCCGCTGACCAAAAAGGTAACGCATAATATGAAGCACATGTGAATGGTACTTTTGATTGTGATGTGTTAAAATATAAACTGATTTTGAGCTTCTTCATAAATTATCTAGATTGAAATGGACAATATCATTCGTTTCCCGTCGTTCCTTCACACAAACCATTATCCGTCGGGCCCGGAAAAATAACCGGAATAATTTGTAGATGTGATGTACCTTTGCTTGTTTTTTAAAATTGAAATTGAATAAAGGATTGAAGGACTTGTTAAAATTAGTGGCGCTGATGTTTGGTTTTTCCTTTTTGGCTAAAATTTCTTCTCAAGCGACTTATCATATAGCGAAAGGAGAAGTTGAGCACTAGCGCTCCACAACGTATTCACTTAACATTGGTCTCAGGGGAAAAAACAGAAGACTCCAATTAGACTAATTATAACCACCAATATTTTCAAAGTAAATTTTGTAAAAGCAAAAGTTCACGTATTTTGGGTAACGAATTCTTTTAGAAAATCGGGCATTAAGAAATTTATTTCTCCTAAGTACGTCTTTATTTTTTCCAAAATGAACAGTTCGCATTTGTATGTGTTCCATATTTTTTCCTTATTCAAAAAA